GTGGGACTGTGTTTGGCCAAGAATAGCTCAGAGGCCTTTCCTCAGAAGCCAGCTCTTGAGGCCTTCAGTGTATGTTCTAACTATATTTGGCAATGAAAACCAAGAGGTCACTGGCTTAACTCAGGAGGTGGGGGGAAAACCCAACACAGCTATTCCTGATTTATAATCCCTGCTTCAAACCAGGACCAAGAATTTTAAAACTCACTTCATTTATTAATTTCACACTCACTGGAGCTTGCAGCTAAAAAGACTCTCCTTTCCAGTACTGCTGGCCCTCGTGTAAATCTTTTGCAACCACAGGTGTAAATCACCTACCTAAGCCATCCCTGTGTTGGAGGACATTTGGGGACATCTGGCTAGAGATCCCAAATGTTAAAATTATCCCACTTTACTATGTCTTCATAGCATTAAAATAGCCTGAAGCACTTGGGTGCAAATCCAGACTCTGCTACTTATTACTTACTGTGTGACCCTGGACAAGTTGCTTTATGTCTCTGAAGTTCAGTGTCCTATGAGCAGATACAGTAACAGCTACTTCACAAGGCTGCTGTAACAACAAAGGAAGATAAGATACAGAAAATGGCTAGGAGAAAGACTGACACAAAACAGGTGCTAAGAACTCTTTTTCATCACTGCCCTCCCCCTTAGCTATTCAGTCAAGGTGTTGGCCTTTCAAGAAGTCTCCTGGTTCTCTGGGTCTGATTACAAATGGTTGGTACCACTCCCACAGCCAGCAACAGTAGCTACAGATAAAAAGCCATGACTGCTCTTCAGTTGCCGACAGGTCAAATCAGCTCACAAATGACTCATCACTGCTGATAAATGATGTGTTCTTGGCATCAGGAGGCTATATTCTGATAGGTTACATCACCTTGTTTTAGAAAAAAAAAATCTACACGGTAAATAGAATAGTTACAAGGAAGCGCCCCAAGGTTTCATGATGACCTTCAGTCAGTCCTGAACTCATACCAGACTGTTCTCAAGAGGGTCTCTGTCTCCTCAGACATGTCTCTAGTCACAGGATTTCCAGTTGGGAAGGACTCCAGCTGAGCAGCTGCCTCTTTATCTCAGAGCTGAACCATCTCCTTCAATTGCTTTGGATTCCCTAAAGTCATAAGACTCTCTCAGCAGAAGGTTAGCTGCCCTTTCACTGCTCAGAACAGCCCAGAGCTAGTGCCCAACCAGCCTCTGGCAGTTTGTCTGCAGCCTGCAGGCCGACTGGGTGAGGCTGGGCCAGAGGACTCTGAGGCTATGGTTTGAAAATAAGCCACTGTCTGCACAGTAGAAGGAAATGTCTGTGGCTCTCTGACGTTTCTGTAGCCCCTTTAGACCACCTGGCACAGGCATTTCAAACTGGAGCTTTTAGTCTCTCATTCATATGTACTCTGTACCTGATGCAGTCCCTGGCCCAGCATTGCAAGAGAGTAAGTTGTAAAAGTGTCTTTGACACCAGTGATCTGCTGCTTCATTTTAGCCAGCCCCTCAATTCTGGCTATTACAAAATCATTGTTAAAATCACTCATGAAAATGAAAGCAAAACTATTTCTTTCAATGTACACTAAAGGAACTCGCCATCCTAGCCCCGTAGAGAGTCCTGTGATAGACAACAGAGTCAAAAGGCCGAGGAGTGGGTATGCTGTTCCCCAAAATATTTCCTTTTTCCAAAGTCACTTCAAGTTTTCTCATCTGGAAGATTTATGAAATCAACTAGAAGCACCAACATTTTAACCTTGGTTTGCAATGGAAGAACCAGGGGAACTTTTTTGAAAGTTCAACCTCCAGACTGGGTCTCTTGGATACCAGATGAGTCAAGGAAACAAAATATTGGGCTGCCTCATCCATAGGCAGGTATCTTGCATCTCTCCAGAATACTGAGACGCAACAATGCCACTCTACAGACTAAGCTGCACCTGATCCAGTCCATGGTCTTCACAATTACTTGCTACTTCTCACCACTGGATCAATCGGTAGCATCAGGATGGATGGTGAAGAGATTGAGATTGTTCACAGCTTCAGTTTGCTCGGCTCCACGGTCAACACTCTTGGCACCAGTAGCCAGGAAATCAAAAAATGTATTGCGATGGGAAAGTCTGCGGTTAGGGACCTCTCTAAACTACTCAAGAGCAGCGGTGTCTCTCTGGAGACTAAGGTGCGCCTGATATGGGCCATGGTTTTCGCAATCACTTGTTATGCATTGGACAATGACTAGGGAGGATAGAAGGAGAATTGACGCCTTTGAGCTGTGGTGCTGGAGAAGAGTATTGAATGTACCATGGACTGCCAAGAAAACAAACAGATTCATCTTGGAGAGGGTTAAACCAGGCTACTCCTTGGAGGCAAGGATTCTGGGGCTTCGTCTGACATACTTTGGACATGTTGTAAAGAGAGACAGGTCCTTGGAGAGGGACATCATGCTGGGTAGAGTAGAGGGACAGAGCAGGAGGGGAAGACCCTCTATGAGGTGGATTGATTCAGTGACTGGGGTAATCAGGATGGGTGTGTCGGAGACAATGAGATTGTCACAGGATAGAGCACGTTTAGGGCTGTTGTACATAGGGTCGCTATGAGTCGCAAACGACTCGATGGCACATAACAACAACAACAACAGAGAGCTGGATAATGACTAAGGATGATAAAAGAAGAATTGATGCCTTCAAGTTGTGGTGCTGCAGAAGAAGAGTCTTAAACATACCATGGGCCACCAAGAAAACAAATAGTTCTGCCTTGGAGAAGGTGAGACTAAGTTTCTTCTTGGAGGCTAGGATTTTGAAGTTCCATCTCACATACTTTGGGCATGTGGCCAGGAGGCAACCATCCTTGGAGAAGACTATCATGCTTGGAAAGGTGGAGGGACAGTGCAGGAGAGGAAGACCCAGAATGAAATGAATTGATACAGTATCTGGGGCAATGGGGGTAGGTGTATCAGAGTCAGTGAGATTGGCTCAAGATAGGTCAGGCTTAGAGCTGTTGTACGCAGGATCACCGTGAGTCACAGGTGACTTGACGACACTTAACAACAATAACATTTTTATTTTATACTGGTTTACTTACTAAGTTAGTTGATTTTCACACCGGACCTTTCCCATTTTCTTTACCCACCCCTCCCTCCACCTACCAAATTGTGTGACCCTATGATCACCCCCCATTTGGATGCTTATACACATTTTACTAATTATCTTTCTATCTCTGTGTTAATGATCTTATACAGTATTTGATCTTATGGGACTGAGTTAGTTCACTTAGCCTAATTCTCTCCAGTCCCTCCCAATATGTAGTGACTTTCGAAATCATTGCTCCTGCATGCTGTGTAGTGTTCCATTGTATGAATGTACCATAATGTCTCAATCCATTCGATGTGGTTGGACATTTAGGCTGTTTCTATGTTCTTGCAATGGTGAATAACGTTGCTATGAACTATGGTGCACATATCTCCGTTTGTGCCTCAGTTGTCATTTTCTCGGAGTGTATTCCAAACAGTGGAATAGCAGGTCATATGGAATTTCTATGTTCAGCTTTCTATACTAACTGCTCCACTATCCCTCTGCCCTTTCAAGTCATGCAACCAGGACTCACTCAGTGCCCAGCTTCCATCATCGGAATTGGGATCAACCTACTAAAATGATAAAACATCAAGGCAGGAGGAGGAAGGAAGGAAGGAGAGAAGAAAGGCAAGAAAGAAGAGAGAGAAATGGGGAGGGGGAAGCTGGGGCAGGAGGAAGGAAGAGGAGAGCAGCGAGGGGAGGCGGAACAATGAAGGTCTCGGGCCGTCGGAGGCGCACGGTTCCGGCGGCACGTCCTCCCGCCAGCAGCTGCACCCCGCGCAGCGTGTGGGCGCTGAGTCACAGCTCCAGAACACCGAGTCGCCGTGCAGGTCTCAGGCGAAGGGGAGGGAGCAGGAGGCGGGCCTGGTTGGCATCTACAAACTGTTTTTCTTTTTTTTCTTCCCCCCCCCCCTTTCCTCTTTTATTAAGGCTGTGTGCTGACTCCCACGTAGGAGGACTTATTAAACCGCACGTACTGTCTGGCGGCTCGCGGCGGCAGGCAGGGGGCGCTGCAGCCTCGCTTATGAGCTCCGCGGCCTCTGAGGCCGGAGGGGACTGGGGTTGTTGACCAGGTCCAGCTGCGGTTCCCCCCTGCCCCCGGAGGCGTCCCAACATGTTGCAAGGGTAGCTTTTGACTTTAACACCCGCGGCAGTATAGGGGAACCCCTCACTTAGAAGAGCACGGAGACCTCCTCGACTGTGCCAGGCAGGCACGCCTTTGCACTGAGCTGCCTGAATAATCCCATACATCGTGGAACGGCGGTGCTTGCTCGCCTGTCTCCCCACCCGGTCGCCACTCGAGGCTCTGCCCTCCACCCCGGCCACGCGCTCCGCGCGCCCCACGCCGCCTGCCGAGCTCGTGACCGCTCAGCGCTCGCAGTTCCAGCACCGCCAGAGCCAGCACTCCCGGTGCGCCTCACATTTCTGCAAGCCGGGCAGAGGGACTCCCCTGACTCCCCAGCTGGTTAGAATGGGACAACCACTTTTCCCAAGACACTTGAGCCAAGAATGAATCTGCATTGAGACCATTTATTAGTTAGCTATTTCGCATATCACCCATTTCTTGTAAATAAGATTATACTGAAACACCGTTTTCTTCTTCCATGGGAGGTAATCACTCTCGTCCACACACCCAAACACACACCGAACGTTACACCTCGCTGAGACATTCTCTTATTAAAATAGAAGGGAGGGGTAATACAATTGCTTTAGAATGCCCTTAATACAATAGATAACGTACAAAAATATCTCTATATTTGAAGTTACAAAACAATCTTGACAGCAACAAACTTAAATAGTGATAGTTACCTCTGTATGTACAACACGCATTGCACTTTTCCTCGCTAGGTTTTGGAAAGTTCAAGTAATGGTGAGGCTTGCTCCCCGGTGGGGTGGCACGCCTCCGTGAGAAATCGGTTTATGGACGGACACGACAGTGAGAGTCTCAGCGTTTATTTCTCAATTTCTCCTCTCTGCGAGCCTGGGTAGTCCCTGGGATTCCGCAGTCTCCCCGGGGTACTCGGTTCGGATCTGGACGAAAGGAGCTCTGTCCCACGAGGAGGAGCCCCTGCAAAGCCAGAACTCGCCGCCAACAGTCGAGATCTTTGCAGGACTCTTATCTCGGCCCGTCCCGTGTAAGGCTAATTTAGACCTCGGGTCGGGGAAGCCCTCCGCCCCCGGGAGGCGCCAGCGGGATGCTGCTGCAGCCGTTTGCGCTTCAATCCTGAAGGGGGCGGCGAGTACTTGGTGCCCCCGAGGCTTTAAACCCCGCGTACTCGTGGTTCCAGGGGCAACAGGGTCCGACCCCCCGCGGCTTCGGCCAGAGAACGCCGGCGTCGGCGGCCGTAGCCCTGGGGGCTGATCTTGTGTCTAGGGGCAAAACCGTCCTTGTCCTTGTCTGTGAACTGGTAGATCTGGTGCGCCAGTTTCTGCACAGTGCACGTCCCGAAGCGGCAGCCAAAAGTTCGCAGGTTCTTGTAGCTGTTCTGGCGGAAGCGCTTGACTCGGATGCGGGCAGCGTCCAGGTTGCTGGAAGGGGGATGAGGGGCAACGTGAGACCCTCGTCATGTAGGGTTTTCGCCCAAGCCACAAGGACGGGATCCGTTCTAGAATCCAAGAAATCTGAGAACGTCTCCCGCCATCTGAGCCGCCATCCAGAGCGTCTATTCCCCGGAGAGCTCTCGCTCCCCGCCCCCACCCCTCCAGATGGCACCCAGCGTAGTTACCTGGTTTGAGAGGCTGCCTTCACGTCCTGGGGCTGAATAACAGTCTGCACAGGCCCGGCCTTCACGTCCATAAGACTGGTGGGGTGGCTGCTAGACGCCAGTAGGTCCCTCTTTCCACGGCTTAGAGCCCATTTACTCCATCTAGAAAACACAAGCGGACCAGATTCGCCTGCGTCCCGGCGAGATCTCTGCCCACACCCGTCCCGCACCGGGCAGCTTGGTCCCTTCCCTCAACCACTTCCAACCCCTTGGCCAGTTTCCCCGGTCTGCCAGGTACTAAGGACTGTGAAAGCGCCTGGAACTCACTTCTTTCGGAATTCCGACGCCACGTCGAGCCGCGCAGCATCGGCGCCTAGGAAGGCGAGGGAGCCCAAGTATATCAAGGCGACTGGCACCAGCTTCATCCCGGCGACGATGCACAGACCCTGGGGAGAGAGAGCGAGCAGCTGAGCGTGAGCGCCGGGCCAGGAGGGAAGGCGGGGGCCCCGGCGCGGGCGCCTCGCTTGGCTCAGACCCTTATCTCCCTCGGGCGCAGAGAGGCGCCAGCGGCGTTTGCACCAGCCGGCGGGTGACAGGCTCCGCGGAGGAGGCCGCTGCACAGCTCCAGGCTCCCAGAGGTTCCCTACTCAACGTCCCCGGGCTTAGGGGCTTAGCTCGCAGTGCACGGAATTTAGGCCCGGAATTGGGGGAGTACCGCTCTGAAGACCCTTCAAAGTGAGTAGTACTCTTCACCCAGGCCCCCTAATCTCCAGCCTCAGCCAGGTATCCCCTTAATCCGTGAGGTTTACGGCACCTACCTGCTGAGAGAGGATCTGCAGGGAAGCAGAGAGGAGAAAGTCCGAGTTGTCACTCTGGCAGTGGCAAAACCCCAACGTCCAAGTCTGGCTGCGGTGAGAAGCAAGAAGTGGCAAGGGTCGAGCTCTTCTGTCTGGTGTCACCAAGAAACCACTGACTGTCCAGTGCGGTTCCTCGGCTTTATATGAGCACCGGGGCGGGGCCTCAGCTGCCCACGCGCCCTCCCTTTTTCCACCTCGGGCGCGCGCTCCTGCAGTCCGGCACGCGCCTTACTTGCCAATGGGTGTGGGTCTTGAAGGGGTCCCATGGGTCCAAGGAGCTCAGGGGTGGCCTCCAAGAGATTAGTGCAAGAGCTACCCCGAGCTTAACTATGGGGATACAGAGTTCAGATCTTGAGGCCAGGAGGAGAGTTGATAGTGCTTCTTGGGGTCTTTACCCAGCATTTATGCAGCCCAGGGTTCCTGAGTTGGTGACAAGAGCCAGCTGGGACCACTACGTGATGACCTGAGCCCCAAACCTGGAGACCTCTGGCCTCAATGGGACCGCGCCCCCTACTGGTTTGACGTCTGACCTGGGCGCGACCCCACACTTGCGCTGAGGGGCAGGGGCAGCGCACAGAGCCAAGAGGCGCCCTGAGAACGGCAGATACCCAGGGTTCCTGAGTGGGCTGGGAAGATTTTGCAATAGCGGTAGGGCTCAGAAAGACTGATTTGAGAATTGGGTGGAGGGGGTGATGCCGTTTTAAATTTCGGGTCTTACATACATGCCTATTTGGAAATACAGGAATAACCAAAATTAAGATGTTGTTCCATTTCCCCCTCCTTGGAATCCAATTATGCCTTATAAGGTTACAACCTGAGAGTTTGCCTGGCTGCCCTCGGAGCCTCCAGTAGCCCGTCGTAAACGTGAGGACTGCCTAACTGCCAGGCAGCACACTAATGCTTCACGTATGCTAATCGCTTTACAGGTTACAAAACTCTGCCACATCCTAATTTCTTTTGATCCTTATACCACCCTCTGGTTTAAGCGAAGGAAGGTAACATTACTTTCCCCTCCTTTCACGAAGTAGAGAATTGAAGGTCGTCAGAAGGAAAAATCTTGCCCACTTTAGAGCTGTAAGCAATAGAGCTCTATCTCACTCGGCCCCCCACGCGAGCGTGGAAGGGTGGGGCGTGGTGTGAATTCTTTCAGGCTGGGGTCATCACCTTGTCAAGGGGGAGAGGAGAGTCTCTGCCCTCGCCCAAAGATTTGTGCCTGTTCATGATGAATCACTCCCAGCACATTTGTCACCTGTACTCTTCCATTGCTACATCTTGACTTCACTTTCCTACTTGCCACCTGGGAGGGCCTTGGGAAGGGAAGATTCGGTCCCTCAGAAGGTCTCTGGGGTCCCACACCTACAGCTTCAGCCTCGGGTCACTCAGCAGTGTCTTCTCACAAAGTACTTTAGCGTCAGTGTCTGTCGGCAGGATGTCTCCGATGTCTTGTCACCTACTCCCTCAGCCTCGGGTCCTAGAAGTCTAGCACCTAGGTAGAGAGGCCTAGGGCTCCCGATCACAAGAGCCGGGCTGACGTGTTCATAAGCCCTTCTTCTATACCAACTCCTGTAAAAGTGAGCAAGTCACGCCTCCCCTGTAACTTGTCCAAGAAGATCTCTAAATTTCCTCTCCGCTGCTCTCTGCAGCTCCAGTTCTGAGCCACGGAGGACAGGGCCGATCGATGGCCCGGACCTTGGCCACGATCCGGGACGCGCACTGCTGGCTCAGCCGCCTTCCTGCTCTCAGCACAGAACCGTGGACGTTGCACCTGGGGAAGGAATGGCCGCTCCGAAGTTATGTTTTCTGAGGTCTCTTGACAGACCCGATCGGAGTTCCAGCTAAGAGCATGGAACAGATTCCTAGCTTTAAATTTCCCGGCTGGGGCACCTAAGGTCGGGGAGAGGGGCGCACCGAGGCGACCCCGCCCGGCACAGCGTCGTGCCAGACAGGGGGCGGGTCGCCTTCCGCAGCTGATCAGGTCAGGCTCTGCACTGAGCGAGCGTCTGCTCTTGTTTCCAGAAGCTTCCTCAGCCCAGCCTGTTTTTCTCACTCGCCCATTTCCCATTTCTCACTTCTTCCCCCTGCTCTTTGCACCGACCCAGTCCAGGACCGGCCATCTGTCAGTCTGCGACAGTCTTGTCGCCAGCTTCCAGCTTGGGTGTGCCAGAGCAGGGGTTTTTTACTTTCATTTCTTCGGCTCGCGCGCCCCTGGCTGTCGATGAGGTCAAGGACGGCTGGACGCTGGCTAGAAACCAGGGACGGTCCCGTGGTCTGGACTCGTTTCTTCCAGTCTCCACCAGCCCCGGGGGGAGGGAGTGGTGGTGGGATGAGCGGTTGTACCTCCTTGTTTCCTAGCTCGATCTTTCAGGAAAGCCCCAGATTCTGAACGGAAACGGAGCTCTTTCTCCGGCCGCAGGAGCGTGGAGAAGCATGTTCTTGGCGCAGACTTCGCTTTGAACTGGCGGCGAGAAAAGCAAACCCGTGAGAGCGGAGTTTCATTTCAGTGGCGTCTCGGTGCCAGGGCTTCCCACCTGACAGCCTTGGCACGCGCCTTATCAGCCCAGGTGCGCTTTGTCGCTCTGGCACTGAGAGTCCTGACACTTGAGAACCCTGCCAATATTTCTCTAAATTAGATTCCATATTGACAGAGGATTTTGCTAGAACACCATTAGCTTCGAAAGTGTGTAAGTGTGTGCGCGCTCGCTCGCAATTGCACGCACAACTCCACAGTATTGTGGCGTTGAACTGGGGCGTGGGGGGGACACCCTACAAAGAAAGAATTTCCCAAATCTTGGAACCTGTGTCCACCTACTCTCCCCTACCTCGTGGAATCTCGAGTTCACATAATTATCATAATGACAAGAAAATCACAACAACGTGTTTTCGGTTCAATGGGCCTATCTAGAAGAAAACTCAGCAGTGAGAGTCCGACTCCTGAAAATTTGTTAAAATGGCATTGGGATTGTGTAGTCACACTGAGCACGCACAGTACAAGGAGCGAAGGAAGGGGAAATCTTCAAAATGTCGCTGACAGAAAAAGAATGCTGACTCATGAAAATACACTTTTCAATGCCCAAGAATTTTAGCGGCCAGAGAGCAAGTAAAGTAAATCGCAAAGCACTGGAATGAACTTATGTGTCCTAACATCGTATATGCACATTGAAGTCCAAATAGGCTAGGGTCTTGTTAAATAAGTTGAATCTCACTTTCATCACATTCTAGTTGAATTATTTGAAGGCTCTAAAATAAATCTTTGTCCTTAGCAATGTTTGGAGTTTGTTGTGTTGTGTTTTTAAAAGTGTGATGATGTTTTATTTAATTAATAGTGCAAACACAGTTCTGAAGCCAAAGAGACGATACTCCGATACTCCGGTCATTTAGAATAGTAGAGAAACTATAAAGAACATTAATGACACCAATAAGGGCAGCCAAAGTGTAATTGCTAAGTGAGTTGCATCACTATCTCAGTTGTTTTATGCAAATAGGAAGTTTTGTGATATATTTATTATTCACAGTTGAAATTGCCTTTGTTAAACTGAGGGTTGGTTTACAGAGTCCATTAGAAAAGAAGGTTCAAGAAACATCCTCAGTTATAACACAAAGTCTTTTAGAGAAAGGACACAACCAACCTTTTGGATTTGGTCATTCATAGAAGAAAAAACAGGATGCAAAGCTCAAAGCATTTTTTTAAAGTATTATTTATTTATATCATCATTCACTTTTATGAAATAATTCATATACATTTTGTTTTATACAGTTATTTCTGTACATTGTGTTTTATATAGTCACTTTTATGTCTACTTCTCCTCAAGTCTCTATTAAGCCTTATCTAGTTCTTCATTTACCTCCCCAAACCCCTAGGAATCTTTGTTGTACTAGCAATTTCTTCTTCCTTGTTCCACAACCCTTCTACTCTGGAGCTCTGGTGTATCTTCTTCCTACTTTCTAATTACAATAGCCATATTGTCAAATTAAAACAACAGTGAGATACCATCTCACCCCAGTAGCAGCAGCAAAGCTTAACAAGACAGCAAGCAATAACTGTTGGAGGGGAAATGGAGAGATTGGAACTCATACAATTGCTGGTAGGATTGCAAAATGGTACCACTACTATGAAAGGCAGTTTGGTATTTCCTAAAAAAAACTAACTTAAAAATCACATGTGACTCAATCATTCCACTGCTGGGAATATAACCCAAGGAAATCAGAGTTGAAACACAGAGACATATACAACTCTGTTCTTAGCAGCAGTATTCGCAATTGCAAGAAATTTAAAATAACCCAAATGCCCATCAGCAAATGAATGGATAGAAGAACTGTGGCATATTCACTCAAAGGAATACTATGCAGCACTAAGGAACAACAAGCAGGAGTCTAGAGAGCATTATGTTGACTGAAATAACATAGTCACAAAAGGACAAATGCTGCCTAAGACCACTGCTGTGAAAATAGAAAGGTAACTGAGAAAGGAGAGAGGAGGGAGAAAATAGAAATGGAATGGGTAGACAACAGTACGAGAACCAAGTCAGCTAAGAATCAATCTAGGAAGAAACTGAAGACCTAAAAAAAAA